AGAAGATAGATAGGCCAAGACAGAAAGAAGAGTGATAGTGTAACCGTTTTCAGCAGAAAGTTTGTCGAGGTATTGGCTTCACTTGTCTGCTCATGGGAATCATGACAACTACTATGACAGACGACTTCGGACTAGGTGCGTTCTACATGGTCGTCAAAGAGACGAGTTCGTATCTTGTTTTTCAGCAGAACGTTTGTCGAGGGATTGGCTTCACTTGTCTCTTTGACGAGTTCGTAGCTTGGTGCCGCAGAATGGCAAGTCTCACTGATGATGCCGACTACGATGCCGGCGAAACGTCTGAGAATGTATCAAGTCCACAGGATGGCAAAACTCACATGCCGACTACGATGCCGGCGAAACGTTTGAGAATGTATCAAGTCCACTGTCAGATGCTGGGAATCATGATAACTACTATTGCAGACGACTTTGGACTAGGTGCGTTCTACATGGTCTTCCTGAAAACAAGACCAAGTTGCGACAACGAGGTCAACCCACGTATTCCTTATGTTATCTCTGGATGTTTTTCCAGAGTTTGTATCAGAGCTTGAATAGCTCATTGCACATGAATGTTTGTGTATATAGACATAACAACAAAGCTAACTAGTATATCCCTATTAAAAATTATCTCTAGATCGCACTTTTACAAAAACATATGAGTTTTTAACTGAGTATAGCCAATAATTGGCAGAGTGTCTTAGTTTCATGCACAAAAATCTTGAGATTTTATGCAGAACGCTTCCTTTATTATTTACGGTTAATCTTAGAGGGGCACCCTATTTGTACACCTTAGGTAGACCATAAGCTGTGGCAAGCCGTGCATATCTCTGGTGTAGTGAATTTATTTTTCACTTCTTTCTTTCTTCATTATTTACGCATACCATAAGGGCATCTTTTAGCCGAGTTTTAACTCTTTATTTTAGGTTTATCAATAGAAGTTTACATGTTTCTTTATCATTTAAATGAACTATCAATTTATCTACATAACTTGACTTATCCATGAATACTACTGCTTCACATTTGTCGGCTTTTGTATTGATTCGATTATTATTACGCAAGTATCTAGAAATCTTTTTAATATATAAATATTTCTTAAGTGGTTATATATGGTCAAAAAGAGGAATCACATTCAGTTCAATAATAATGCATACCCAATTAGGTAATCTATCAGATAAGTTAATTAACTCAACTAATATTACCAGA